TTCGTTTCATCGTGTTTTGAATAACAAAGATTTTAACACAAATTTTCTCTTTAAAAATCGTTGTAAAACAAACACATTATAATTCAATATTATTAATTATTAAAAATGTATTTAATTTTAAATGTTTGTTTAATATCTACTGTTAAAGCTCTACTTCTCCTAGCTCCCTCCCTTATTAAGTAAAAGGTTGCGAACAATCCATCAGTTTACCATACATAGATGTATGTATATTTGTCTCTTTTTCTCTTTTTAGTACCGTAACCGTTTCATCGTTTCGTTGCCATTACTATGGATTTTCGTTCGCTTTTTTAAGTCACCCAAATCCTAAAAAAGTTTTCATTTCAAAAAATATTTACACATTTTGTTCATTTGTCATTTTATAAATTTATACCATTTATACCGAAGCGAATGAAAGTTTAATTTTAAAATAAAGCAAATTATACAGATGGAACGAACTAAATAATAAAAGGTACGATATCTAAAATTCACGAGGCAAGATTTTTGATAGCTCGTTTCTATACTTTATATTCCTCAAAGACGAGGTAGCGTGAATCGTTCTGTAAAATAATCGATCTCACGCGAAGACGATGAATATGTACGCGAACGGGTATTAATGCAGCACGGAATTGCCGGGAAAATTATTAGACTCGTTGACGATCGTTCGCCTCATAAGAATCGTAAATTGCTTCGATTTCGCTTGGCTCGTAAATCGAATAAATTATCTTGAAAATGTTTTGCATTTAAACGAACGAGTTTTCAATGTTAACGAAACAACGTTAAACTTTTTATTATTTTATTTGTATTCAAATATAAAAAAAACATATATCTATGTGAAAATGCATATTATTTTGTTTAATATCGAATTCTCGATAATTGAAACATAATATTATATAATATAATACTATAATATCTTTGTTAATTAATCATTTCTTTGTTGTTAAGCATAAAATCATTTTAAATGACGAGTTAAACGTTCGTGATGGATATGAGATTAATCGAATGAAAACGTTGCGCAAACGAACCTGCAAAAAGAGCCAACGAGAGATAGACCTGAAGAAATTTAAAAGTGATTATTCAAAAGCTTATCGAGATTAAGGTATGCCAAGGATTTCTCGATCGTTCAAATAGTTATGTTATCTCTCGACGTTTCTCCGAATAACGAATTGCTCTATATGGAATGGTATTCACAAAAGAGGGGAACACCTAACACGAGGATAGAGCGAGTAATTGAAGTTAAAATGGACAACTTTTCCATGACCTCTTCAGAACTCGCAATTAGTCATCATTTTTAACTTTAACATGGCATATAAATATAGTATATATACTTATTTATATTATGTATATATATATATATATATATTTGAGGTCTCAGCACGATCCATGATGGCCTTCGGTCGCCTTTAAACTATTTTCTTTTTCTTTTTTCTTTTTTCTTTTTTCTTTTTTCTTTTTTCTTTTTTCTTTTTTATTTCTTACACGCAACTCGTCTTTTACCAATTCTTTTTTAGATAAAAAATATAAAAATGTCGTAAACTCATAGGTATATATTTAATATTATGATTATCAAGAGAAAGATTTAAATCATTGCATTTAATAAGGCAAAGTAAAAACTTTATCACAATGTTAATATACGCAAAAACTCTTATTTCAATTCTGCAGGTATGAGGATATCAAAATCTAACGTTCCCCTTAAGGGATGCGCCAACTTTTGGACTTTCTAGGACTGCAATGTACCTAGTTGCCAACACGTTAACCGACTTTCACGTATATTTTCATGAGTTAAATTCATTTTACTCCGAGAGAGAATTCGCGATAGTTATGCTATGTTGAATACAAAATTAACATACATTGGTCTAATTGAGATCTGTGAACGAGAGTTATATAAAACGGAATAAAGTACGAATAAATTTGATCAAAAGAAAAGTATGGCTTGCTGAGATTTTATTAGAAAATAATTTGAAAATTCAATTTCCGTTCAATTGGATAGTAATAACTTTTTTTACGATCTATTTCAAAGTTATAATTATTCAAAATACGTGAAAGTATAGATAATGTAACACGAATCGAAATATCATTATTCTAATTCGAATTGAACAACAGAATTTCTTTCCCAAGAAAACAAAATAAAAATAAAAGAAAGAAACAAATTTCATCAATCGAATTCTCGATAAAGTTTTTTGTTTTTTTTTTTAAACCCTATCGAAGAAAATATTTAAAAATGCAAGAATTAAGACGAGTTAACCGGAAGGCCTTTGAACTCTACGATGGAGAGTATTCAAAGTTCAATCTATTCTAATAGGCCGCACTTTGGGTTAAACCGCTTCGAGGCAATACCCCAGCTCTTGCCTACGTCTGCTACGTGCCTTGTTCGAGATGGTGCAATTTACTCACATACGTTTAGCGAACACCGATGTGAGGCGAGAAAGTTTAACCAAAACGCGAATAGTTGCGCTTAAGCCCGATGTACGGAACAATTTGATTGGTCGAATCTAGGTATATATATATATATATGTAGTTGCGTACGTATAAATCTACATCTACGTATAATAAATATATGCATATACATAAGCGTATTTATCCAAATGAATGTTGCAACCGAATCAGGAGGGCTAGTAGGAAGGGAGAGGGAAAAATTGACCCTACGTGTACAAATAAATTAAAAAAAAAATAATAATACTTTTTCTCTCTAATTATCTATCGATTATATTACATTTTCATATTCATCGTCCTTGGTAATGTTTGTGTTTTTACCTTCGATCGTTTGAATTATTTATTTTACGTTTAGTTTATTTCTATCGGTCTAACAATGAGTGACAAGCAACAGTAGAAATTAGAATCGTTGCAATTCGGACATTTTGAATTTACTATTAGACATTTAAATTGGAAAAGATAATTCAGTACAAGCATACTTCGTGATATTTTTAATACGATTTTCCCGAAAATAAAACCTCAAAGGAAAAAATATGACTTCACTTTTTTTTCGACTTATTTTAACATGTAAAAATCATCTCACAGTCGGTTGTACCGTCCATTAGGATATATCCTGTATATTTTAGTAACACAAACAAGACTTCGGGTCGATAATTTTCCTTTCTTTTTTTTCTTTCTTTCTTTCTCACGTCGACGTGACGACCATTTAACCGCGGCGATCTACCTCGGAGCTAAATTATCACGCACGTACGAAACAGTCCGTATGATTAACGAGATTACGCTCAGCGACCGTGGCAAGTTGGTTGGTGAGCAAGTTCTTTCTGACGTTTTCACGACGACGAACACGACCGCAAGGGATGACAAATGAAAAAAGAAAAAAAGAAAAAAAGAGACGAGAAAAGAAACAGGAATAGAAAAAAAAAAATTACAAGAAAAGGAAAAATAAAACAGAAAAATAGGAATTAAAGAGAAAGAGAAAGAAAAATAAATTACCAAACGTTTCGTAACTGCGTTATGTTGCATGGTTCTTAAGTAACCCCTTGTTTTAGTTGTTTTGAAAAATGGCATCACGAGATATCTTTCCCTTTTTCTCTCTCTCTCTCTCTCTCTCTCTCTCTCTTTCTCTCTCTCTCTCTCTCTTGTATTTATCCTTCAGTTGTTTTCACTTTAGAGAGAGAGTGAATCTGAAGGAGACACCGTAAGTCAAGAAAAGTTTACGATATTCGCCATCATTTTCTTCCCCACCGCATGTTTCCTTACTAGCCCGACGATACACTTTTCGAACTTCTAATGCTTTTTTATACGGCCATAGCTTTCAAACTATTGTCCCGCAAGGAACTTCCTATAGTATCGTTCTCTTCATCTTGAATGATTAATATTTAAAGTACGATCGGTTGGTAAACAGAGGCGTTTAACTTTTTTAAATTAAACTTTTATGTGCATTCTTTTTCTTTCTCTTTATTTTCTGTTTTCTTTTTTTTTCTTAAATCCTTTTTGCAAATTCCGTTTAAACGACTCGTTTGTTCTTCGTACAAAAATTACATGGGATATTGAGAATGTGGATATAACTGCAAAAATTTAACCTTATATTAAATGAAAAAAGTTAAAAAGTCTTATTTAATTTGACCTAAGGATTCTAATAAGAAGAAGTTCATTGAAAGTGTACTTTAATTAGAGAAACGTACGATCAAATTTTGCGCTTGTCCTATGTAAGTAGATACGGGATCTATATACGTTAAAAGTTCGTGTATTATTAGGTAGATAATAAAGTTGGGACGTAAACAATAACGTCGTAAGCGTGTAAAATGAGAAAACAAGTCGTTCAAAGTAAAAATGACTTAAAGTATATACATATCGTACTTAGATATACGCTTTAAGAAACTAACTCTGCATTAAATATATACATGCTAAAGACCTTTCATCCGAGATTGTTGTAGCTTCTTCTTTTTCTTCTTAAAAAAAAAAAAAAAATGTTAAACCGCCTCTACTTCTATTTTCTCTTACTTCTTTAGCTTCTCTTTCTCTTATTTCTCATCTCTTCTTGCTCGTGGAATAACATTTATCGCGGATATATTACACCCGATAACCGGAGGCACCACCTTTCAACGCTCCTTAATCTTTAAAGTAATATGCATTTTTATGATATAAATATGAAATTTACGCGCGTCTGGGTTGCAAACGATATTACCGTGGTCGTTAATATCACACACAGGCGCATTATTCGTAGAAAATTTTCTGCCTTAACACCGTGAAAGAGAAAGCGAGAGATGGTAGCAGATAAGATCGACCCTTTTACGAAAGTTGATACATAAATCTACGCTAACTTTCAAATGATATATCGTTCGTTTTCCTCTAATCGGCGTGAAATAGATCGTCGTATCTAACAATGCTAAATTTCTGAGACAAACATGGTATAAGTTATTAAAACTTCAGAAGCCGAGTTAATGAGGTCACGAACGTAGGGAAGATGAGGACCCACCTAGGATCGTAAGACGATCGAGGGTTAGAAAGATAATGTAGTTATCTGTTCTTCAATGATTAACGAGTTTCTATATTTATGTATGTTTCAGGTCTCGAGGAGAACAGGGATACTGTCACACTTCGTCAATCTAAACATAGTGATACCAGAGGCATTTATATTAGGGAGCGACGAGCATCATGTCGACGTGGGGTCTATCATAAATCTCGTATGCATAATAGAAAAGGTAAGATTATCATCAAACTCTTCCTTTGATCGTATATTCAAGCTTGAGTGTACAATTAGATTAGGACTAACCTTCTTTTCTCCCTCTCCCTCTCCCTCTCTCTCTCCCTCTCCCTTTTTTTCTCACCCTTCTTACTTTCGAACTTATAATATAAAATAGATATGCATAAGCGTACCAAACACGATTCTTTAATACTCGCAATGACGATTACCAAGCAAACTCGCTTACCGCAACTTGTTACTAATTACCAGCCATTTCATTCGTCGTGCACATTTAATCCCCTCGAGAATATTAAGCTGTTTGCACACGAGATTAGAATACGACTAAAACGATTCTCGCACATTGTTACAATATTTATTTGTTCGTGAAATAAACCGTATATAGTCGAGCTTTCGAATTTCCCCCTTTTCGTCCGTGTGTATGTGTGTGTGTGTGTATATATGCTGTGTTAATAATAATGACGACGCGGTAAAATCTTATCGATCACTCGACAAGACCGAATATAGTTTGAAGGTTTTTCTAATTGTTTTGATTACACTTGAGAAAAAAAAACCTCGAGGAAGAAGAAGGGGGGCTTTATATATTATGCTTGCCTATCAATCTCAACGTACTTTACGATTACGAAGTTGATTTTTTGTTGGCTTTTTCTTTTTTATTTAGAGAAACCGAAATATATAATCGAATATATATAGTATAGTAATATATTCATATAATATACATCGTACGTTGGACTCGTTAAAATACGAAAAGAGGCATCGAACGCAAACGAGAAAAATCTGAACGAGTCTAGAGTGAAACGAGAATTACGAGGAAGAGGGAGAAAAGGGACGAAAAAAAGGGGTAGTACGCGGTTAATAACTCCGACGTTGTTTTAATATCTGCGTCGAGATCCGCTTTTCCTCGTTTCCCGAACTTTATTCCGAGCATCGATATCCGCGGGTGTGGGAGAAAATACAAGTAGAATAAAAGGACCGTGAATTTCGATGACGCTGATTCCGTTGTAAATTGACGAGTACCCGTAGATAACGTTAATTAAACTGATAAATTAAAAGTGTCACTGCACGGCGTAGCGAAAATTGATCACGCTTGTGTGTCCACTAACATATTCGTTCCATGCATACATATATATACATATGTTTGTAAGTAAGTGTAATGTTCGTATTTAAATATACATAAATATCTATCCGTATATATATATTTGTGTGTGTTTTATATCGTACGAAGCAAATATACGCAACGCACGAATACTTGCTGTAATATAACGTCACCTTTTATGATTTCTCCTCTC